TTAGACATCACCGAAATGAAAACACTTACCCATTAAATGAAATCGAATCATTAAAACAGCAGACGTAAGCTGTTATTTATAAAAATTAAGTTTGAAGCTCAGAGCCACATAAATTGAGCAAAAAAATCGAGTTCAAGTTTCTTAATCTAGAACCTTTTTTGTGGCAATAAACTACGAATATTTCTACCAATCTAATGGTAAATTAAGAAGCAAACAGGATTCTGCCGTAATATATACTATGTAAAAACTTATGTAAGTTCATTAGTCGCGTAAAACTGCGAATAGACATAAATAAAAAAATTAATGACATCTGCTCTCAAGCAGATCCAGTTTACTGACCATGTTTATTATTACTAGTATATTTTTGGAGCTTTATTCTGTCATTGCTTAAAAGCTTATTTGAAATTTTATGAGCGCTTTATATGAGAATTCCCATGAACCAATCGTAATAAAAACATATCATCAGATTATATAAAAGATGCGTTTAACTATAAACATTCACCTTAAGTTAACATGAATTGACATAAAAAAACATATAGTATTACTTATGTTGTAAAAGATTACGAAAAAAATTGAACATTCACCGTCACTTTCAAGTTTCATAATCTTCGTTCCTTTTAAGTCCTGCGGTTAGAACCTCAGAATTACTGGTTATATTATAATTATTTTTTAAGCACGTCATATAAAGGATACTAAGCACTAAGCACAAAATATTTATTTTACACTATCGGTCACATACGGTCTAAAAATCCGTCATAGTAAAAGTAACTATTATTCCTACTTTAAAAAAAAAGGATAATAAAGTCTTATAAATAATTATTGCCTGTTTTTTGTAAAAAAAACATTGTATGGAATTACATTACACCCGGGTTTTAAATTCGTGATTACGAATTGCATTAAAAGAATTAAACGCCTGATTCGGGATCGTATCTTGTCACTTATGAAAACATTCACTCGACTCAATTGGTAACGGTTTGTGGACATTTGCTCTTTGGTTTATTGACAAACTGTGACTGATGCAGACATACCGCGTTGCAATTTTAAAAAAAATAGTGCATCTTACCTCGTAAATGTATAAAGTACTTACCTTATGTATTTTAAGACAGGAGGCTTCACGTCGAATCTCAAATATTGTCTCATAAATTTATTGCCTTACTTCATCATTATTAGCCTATTAATGATCCCAGTGCTTAGGCTTATGTAGCCGTAGTCGTAGCTATAACCTACGCTTTATAGATGTTTCACATGAATCTGTTGATATTGTTATAAAATTAATAGCTTTTTAGTATTTATATATTTAATCAATGCTTTTTGTTGTTTTTGTTGACTGAATTATTAAAGTTAAACGAAATTTACAAAATATCGAATTGATACAAACAAAGCTATTTCGAAAAGAAAAACAAACCAAAATGTTTGATAAAATGATGGTCGCGCCCCAGGACTTCCCTATGGATGGAATAGACACAACTCGAACGTGAAGAAATACATTTTATTTATAATTTTTTACGTAACATATTTTTAGTTCTGTTTCCTTATTTCTCTTAGCGAAAACAAATTTGAAATATTTCTTCTCTAATCTATGGTCACCTGATTTAGTATGAAAACGTAATCAGCGGAGTCGTTTATTGTCCGGTTACTTTATCTGCATTTTTTTGTAGACTAGATCTCTATTTCTTTTTTTTATATTAACGCCTTTTTTAAATTCTAAATATTAGTATTACATTATTACAATATTACAATATTTAAATATTAGTGACTGTACTGGCAACTTATATCAATGAATCATGTGGTGGTAAGGCCGTGACTAAATATATAACATACTTGGTTTTACCAATTTCATATTAGTGATCACGTCCCCTTGTAAATAATACACTAACTATTATTCACTCAATCAAAAGCTTGCAGAAGCAGTTAATTTTTATATCAGGTCTTTTGGTATTGTTATTATTTGGTATTAAATGAGGATAATTGTCTTACGACAGATTCGACAATACACACGAGTTTATGATGGTTAAAAAAGTCAATCATAATAGCTCAACGTTTCATCCTCCAATGAAGCTAAGTATTTAACATGATTTTAATTAAGTAGTATAGATTTATCAGTTTCAAAAAAGCACTCTAGTACAAGCGGGAGAAGAACAAAATTGCTAACATATGGATAGGTGTAGGTAAAAGAAGTTTGCCGTGGCAGAATTGATGCTTGGTGAGCTTATAGAGAACCATTATAAATGTGCACATAAACATTACCGTCACATAATTCTTATATTATTCGATAATATTACAAGATAACCCACCATAAAATTATGTAACTTCAAATCTATATTTGTAACTGTACGTGGAATTTTCATTAGTTTCTACAATGTCCTGTACTCCTGACCAGTCAAATGTCACTCACATTATGAGCTGTTTTATATGCAAGGGACGTACATCTTTTCACTATCGTTCAATGTCCTATTGTATTGTCACTTTCTATATACGATACTGAATTTGATGAATTCGAATGTGATGACGCCAATGTTTGCCAATTCCTATCATTGCAGGATCAACATAAATATTTATAAATTCAATGTACTATCGGCTTGTCCGATCGCCTTTATCCAAGAGTATAAATTTTTCCAAAACTTGTTTTAAATTCGTCGAATTGGGAAGGTCTATTTTACTGAAAAAAAAAATAGAATCACCATATAACACCATTAACATAGGATCAAATGACCATAAGAAATTTATTCCTGTGAAGATGACACCTATATATAATATATATTAGCATAATAACATAATATATCGCACACCTAGATCTAAACTAAGACAACTCAAAAAACTAATGTGGAGGTCTGACAATACATTTGTTTACGTGGCAGGAGCGCGACCACTGTTAATTCAACAAAAGAAAGCTAAAGTTATTAAGCGGCTCATCCCCGAACCTTTATTGAATCAGTTATGTTGGATAGATGCGTATGATCACCGAGTATTTGAATATTGTACTAAGTCAAAACTCACTCATATTTTTGAGTTGTCTCAGTTTAGATCTAGGTGTGCGATATATTAACAACATTTTTTAAACTAAACTACTAACTACCACAGTTAAAACCGATCAAGACACAAACCAATATTTGAAAACTATTGGAGCCCTAAATTATTGTTTTGACAATCATCTGTGTTTTAATTCTTTTAAACTTGATCTGTCATGATTATATTTAAGCTTTATATTAAGCTTTTTGTGTGATATATTCATTTATTAATAAGCTTTGTCAGTATGAATTATGATGGATTCATAAAATTCCAACCTACACACAATTATCTATAATAACATTATAAATAAGAAATATTCGATTTTGTTGGTTTGATTGTTTGTTTGCTTATTCAATACACCCACGGGAAGCTACATCATATGCGGGTGACATATGCTATAAATTACATGGGTGAATTCTTGGAACAGCTATTACTAATAAATGGCCGTATTGAGGAAGTTTCTTTTAACTATTTATAATAACGTCATAAAAGTATTTAACGATTTTGGAAATTCGACTAAAATAATATCTATAATTTACTTAACAACTTATACCTACGTGAACTTTTTCAACAATGGTAGGTGGTTGTAAAACTGCGTATTGGTATTGATAATATCTACTGTAAACAACTAAGATAAGAGAAGTACCTAAATTTCTTATATTAAGTATACATGAGTATGATGCTATTTCTTATATAACCAAAATAAAATTATAATATTTAATTTACCTACATATAAAACACGAAAAGAAAACAATTTCTAAATTATGTCCTTGGAACTTTAGCGTTGCACCATGCATAACTTATTTGATAAAAGATTTAATATTACACTGTGATATAACCTCAACAAAAACATAAGGCACGCCTACTTAGTATGTCATATATAATATTAATTATTTTACATTGCGGCGGGCCATTCGGCATAACACAAAGCGTTTCAATGTCACTAAACTATGTGACGTGATAGTCAGATGCAAAGTGTAATTAAACGCCTACAAGTAACCTTGTCAAAACTAGAGCAAGAAATGTAGCGACGTCAGTCGGTTGCATTAGAATTAAATTATCACGATACGTCTCTTAACTTTCGTACACTCACATTAGTTACGGAGCTAACTCAATAACAATAGCGCTTTTTTGTTAAAATCGCTTGGACTTAAGTTTAGCCTATGTACAGTCAGAAACACATCGAGTTGTCTAAAACAATTATTTAATGTGAACTGCGTGGTTTTGTACTATTTGGATTTAATTAAAGATCATTTGAATAAAAAAAAAATGATTTAAACCAAATAATATTGAAAAAATAGATCAACATTAGCACTTTTAATATGAAGAATACTCATTTAAAGACGTTACTATAAAACAATACAAATCTAAACTCATAATAGTAAGTTCTAGCATAACCATTATGTCATTATGTTATCATATCTCAAGATTTGTCCTGAGATCTCAGGATTTTTCATTTCTTCTCAGCATTGCGGTCGAATTTTGCAAATCTCAGGATTTTAAGAGTTATAAATAAATCATTTTAAAGATTTAATAAAATTGCATGACTTTTGATTTTTTCATCTGACCCTACCTGTGTGCCACCAATGCATTCCTTTGTTGCATCCCCTTTTTCTGTTCCTATTACTTAGCCTAATCTATTCCTTACACTCTTTACCTTCTACTAACCATCCTCTAACATTTTCTTCCTGGTTCGGAATCCTCTCACTTACAGGTCTTATCAACTTTAAAAAAATATATACCTTACCTTAACACCTTTTCTTAAAAAAGATTTAGTATGTTTGAAATATCTAATAGGTATTTATAGCAAACATAAGAACACACAATAAAACAGAATAACTCATACCTTTACTTCCACATATATATACTTACATAAATTAGATAAAGTAGTTTGCTACTACCACCATGGGATTACTGTTACTCCATGATCACGGTTACTCCGTGATTTAATTGTATTTTGTATTATTAAAGACAAAATAGGTAGTATATATAAAGATAATAGTTTTTTTCTTTCTTTCAGTGTACCTGCAGCTGTTATGAAAAATGTATAAACAGGAGCTTCTGTTGTTGGTAAGCTTTATTTTTTTCTATTAATAAGATATTATCGAACTTTAATTTTAATGAAAATTTAAAAATATATAAAAATAAACTATCCTTAATACCGTTTTAATATTAATCAATAGTTAACTTATACTCAAAATAAAATAACCGTAAAATGTCTTTAAAGGTAGGTTTTAATTATGGCTTTTTGATTAAAAAAATATTATACGCTGTCTAAACTCAAAAAGCGTGGTAAAATATCAATTCTGATACCTTATTATTATTATTTTACATACCTGTGTCCGTTATCCATGGAATACATGGACAAAGAATAAACCACGAGATGACTACTTCAAACTCGAAACTCAGCGTGGAGTGATAATGTTTTTAGATCACCTATCCGATGATCGGACAATTGCTTAACTTACACAATCGAGTTCTGATTTTACTTCCTTGAATAGTTGCTATTGGGGCATTACATATGGGATCACTACAATACCAAAAGCCGAAAAAACAAATAAAATGCTCGGTATAAATAATTAAAATAAGATACATGTTAGCAATCACGTATAAATAACATATAGTTTAAATCAACGTGATATTTAGAATAATATCCCACAGTGGCATGTGAAGAAAGAGAAATCATAATATAGTTGTTAATGTTACGAACCAAACAATCTGAATGTCAACTGCATAATAATATCAAGTGAAGTCTTTTCTTTAATAATGTCTTTTACGTACTATTTTTATGACATTGAGAAACCAATGTATAGGTAGGTTGTAAATAGTTTAAATTAGTTGTGTGAGCATACATTTCAACAATTATTTACATAGAAAATGGTTATTATCTTAAATCAGATCCTTGAAGGAAAAATTAAGAAATGTTCATGCTGTTAAATTGTTTTTTTTTTTTTGCTAAAGTTCAATATGTTTTACAGAAACTAAGCATTTAAAAGTACGTGTATACTGTTGTATTTTTTATGTTGTAATCTTTAAATACAAGATTAAGCCCCTAAAAATATGATTACATTCAAATAAAATAGTTTAAAAATAAATTGTAAATTTAATACATAGCTAGATAAAAAATAACGAAGAAAAGTTTATTATATTTTTTGCGATGATATTAAAGCATTTTTTTATCTATTGTTTCAGACATGTATCAAAGAGTTTAATTCGCATTATCTAATCTAGTTTTGACGTATGAGAGAACCCTAAAAAGAGTGATTGGCCAATCAAACTGTTTCTTTCAGTTTCCAATTTATTTGCTTATTAACTCTTTCAATGAACCGATAATCTGCGTTACCATTCTATAGCACTTCCTATTTTCTTTCTTTCTTTCACGTGCGTGATGTAATAACGCAGTCATGAATTTCGTTTTTATATATTTAATCATCATTCAATGTTTTTGTAATAACATAATAGCGGTGAGTTAGGCGAACTTCCTTAAAATATAATTTTGTATGGTTTTTTAAATTTCATAATATAATTATCTCAAGTGGTACTTACCTGTATTTATCTAAAATGCATAAATGCATTTCATATTTTTTTGCAATATATCTTACGAAAGTTCATTATTCTTATTACTTTTAATAAAAGAAATATTATTATAATTGAATCTCGACATTTCATATTGAATATTTCAAAACACGAACTGAATTGAACACAACTATTTATGCCAATATTCATTGTAGACATTACTGAATTCGTTTTAGAAGCTTCCTGCATAATTATTAATCAATCATTTTTTCACAGAGATATAATAAAGACGTGGTATGTGTGATTGACAAGGTAAATTCCTAAACAACTGAAGTAATAATTATTTTTGATGATGATTTAATTATAAGTAAATCACATGCACACACCGAAGCATGTCCCTACGTGTATAAAAAATGACAATGAAGAATATCTAAAAAGATTGCTAATTATTTTTCCATTACAATCGGCAAATACGTTGATGTGACGTCACGATTGATCACGATTTTCGTCTACTTTGTAGCGATAAAAACGGACATTCCTGACCAAATTCGTAACATATGGAAAAAATCTATGTATGACAAAGCCATGACTTAATTGCTTTAAGCAAGCTTAACTTAGGCAGGAAGTGAGCTATGATACCTACTTTAAACATGTTTTTATGTCCAAATTACCCATACCAAATTCTCATTGTACGTATTTTTATTTATAAACAAAGGTTACCCAACCTCTTCCTTTAATAAAATAGTATTTAAACAGATTTAAGCGCGTCAAACTACTTATTTTTCATTTTTGTCATTTCACATTCCTTGCAATCTCTTTGAGATGTAAGTCATTAATTGGTGCATTGATATTCTAATAGGTTGGTCTCATTCGTGTCATTACAGAACCTACTAAAATTTACTTGTTTACGTTACTCGTTTATGATTTTTTCTATTAAATAAACCATGGAAATAAAAATAAAGGTACTAATATTAAACCTATTGTACAAATATTTCAGAACAAAACACCTGTATGCTACACTGTACCAAATGCACGTCGCAATGCTCTTTTGAAAAATAATAATATCCCATCACACGACCCTTACATATCAAGAGTGAATACAGTTTTCTATAATTGTTCGTCAACTGAATGCGTTCCAATCTCATTGTATTCTATAACGCAAGTGACGTCACCGGATCTTAAACTAAAAGCGTGCTACCTTCAATCAGACGCCTACCAGTGCGAGACATTACGATTTAATCACTTAAAAAACGTGGACAAATTACTATTTTTATCAAATAATATAAAGGATAAGTTATTTTACTTGGTGGACTGTTTGGTTTATTCTGACCGTGGGCGAGTGTGCCATAAGAGGGACGATGTTGATTCACACACCAAATTAGTTGATACTGGAACTATAGTAAGACCGAATGAACCGAATGTACTATCGCAAGAAGAATTCTTGTGCGAAGAAGGCCCAGAAGGAAACGTCAATTGCGATCTAGTGCCGTTCGTTCCGTACGATGAAGGTCTCAAATTAAAAGAATCAGTAGAATATAAAGATGACATTTTACTGAAAACGGGAGATTACGTTGTAACTTTAAAAAAGAATTGTATCGACAGTTGGTGTGGATTCAGTGGAATTGTCATAAAATATAAGGGAACGCGTCGATTTGTAGAACGAGGTGGATGGACATATAAATGTTTCTATGCAAAAAAACAACAAGTGTGCATGCCCATACATGATAAATTAAAGCATGTTTATAACGAACGTGCCTGGTTAAGTTCATAAGAGCCGTTGAAATACTTAACCTAACAAAGGAAGTTTACGTTTTAATGAATATATACTATTTTATGTAAATTTTACCTAGTTAACTTTATCAAGATTATCCAATTGTTTTTATAGCTTGTTACAGGCATAACAAATAAATGAGGTACCAATTTCGAAAGTATTTTTATAACTAGAACATACGGAACTTGTTAAGATAAAAGATAAAGAATAATATAAAAGAAAGATACGTTGCAGATACATATAAAAACGCACAAATAATAAGAAATCCTTAGTGCTAGTGATGGAGAAAATAAAAATTTACCTGCTTATTGAATAACAACACATAAACTTACCAAATTCAAAAATAAAACAAAATGTCGTGATATGTTACAGACATAACAAAATAACGAGGTACCTATGTATGATGAAAGCCTTTTTTATAACCAGACCATACAAAACATGTTACGGTCAAACATATCATGTAACTAACCACAGACTAGCCAAATTATAAGAATGCACTGATGCAAATATTATGTGGAAATTTGAACGAGTTTACCTATTTTTAAAATTAAATTACTGTCTGAGAAATAAATATGCTTTCAATGCCGCCGTTTATTCTTGATGTTGAGTGAAAGTGGCTTATGATCCAATAGTTACAATACTCGCATTTGTATACAGGACTATAGACAATACATTCTATAATTATGTCATTGATTTGCTCATTAAGTAACAGTAGACCTTTCGCAATAATACAATTATATTATTATATTTCTCACTTTTCTTCCTACTTCCATACTTGCAAATTCATTAAGAGTATTTATGGTAATATCTTTATCAATATATTGAGTTGAATTTTTAGCTATATGAAGTATATTGATATTTGTCTTCTTCTGTCTCAATTATTATTGTATCAATGTTAAAATCAAATTACTATTTATTGAAGTCGTACAATTTAAAATTCTACTATTATTATTACGTTGTTGTCTAGCCTAGTAACGTTGCATTCCCCGATGTTGTAATATAATACTTTGGAAAGTGTACACCACAAATGCAAGACATGCATAATAACAAAACGACAACACATCTAAAGATATACTTAAGATAAGCCTATTGTGTAGCTACTCAATCATTAAATTGGATCTATTTAAGGCCTTTCTGATACTCGACTACTCAATTACCTATTAATGTTTTTTGGCTAAACTCATCTCTGAGTACATTTATCTAGCACATAAAAACAAGAGTGTAACATCAGTTAGACAAACGTCCATCAAAATTGTCATTAGTTGAAAGCAATATTATCGATACTTTTCAAATTTAGAACATTCATTATAGTTAAAGTCGTCATTAAACCTTAATGGACGTTTGTTGTTGATTTAATATCAAAATTATGGTTTTGAATATAATTAAAATTTTCACACAAATAAATTAAAATCAAGACAATCAATTTTCTTCATAAGTAATATAAACAAACAGCACTTTATTCCGAATTAACAAAAGCGACCTCGTCATCCGACCACGCATGTGGTTCTCATTAAATTAAACAATAAATATTTGGTATGATTGAATCCAATTACTGGCATTGTTAATTGCAAGAACAAACAATAGATGATAAAAACCTGCCCATAATTTGGGTTCTATCAAGAATCGCTAGAGCGGTAGATTCTTATCGTATCGTTAGAATTAGCATCGTCGCCTAGACCAATTTATTAATCGATGTGTGGCTTTGCATATTATAGATATTGGTGCTATTATATATAAAAGTTTTTAAAAACAAGTATTCATAGTTGTCTCCATCAGCTAACAAGCATCCGATGCGATTTTGTGGGTTCATGAACCAATATGCGCGTTAAATTATTAAATCTAGAGTTAAAACTCTCTTTACTGTTCTATATTTGATTGCGCGATCATGTCATCAGGAACTTTCTATATTTACGATCTCAATTAGAACGATGCTTGTCGACCCTTTAAAGGCAAAAATAGTACAAACTTAGCGTCGTGTGCTCAATTGATGATTTTCAAAATATAATATAATAACTTTTAATTCACTTAACAAATAACACGTTTGATTGAGTCTATTCACTCTATAAAAGAAAGGGTTATCCGTATATTTTTATGAATAAATTGTAATAATAAAACAATGACGAACCCACATTTTAAAGATAACTCTAATCAAATCTCGTTTCATTCGTGCAACGGTCCAATGAATCAATAATAGACACAAATTATTTTGTGCATTTTATTTAATGTGTTTTTAATTGCTATAACTATACCAAGCGTGAAATTATACTCGATCAATTCACAAATAGTTCCTGTTACATTGATTCGGAAGTGCGAATTATACTATTTTGTTAACAATACGCATTCTTGGTAGATTGCTGTGAATAAGTCCGCACTATACTTTTGTATACTTAGAGTACCGCTTCTCTATTGTGCTCAAGGGTTTTTGTTACATAATACTACTGAGTAAAAGTGATAAAGATATTCTTTAACCACTAATTGTGAGACAATTCCTACGATAGTAAAAGTTTACTTTAAGTTAATTAAAATCAAAATGACTTCCTCGTTCTGGAACATTCCAGGCAAACATTAAAAATGGATAAACTTTAACATAAAAAAAAAAACAATTGAAGGCCTTGAACTTAACCAAATTAAACGTAAAAAGGATCTTAACAACATTATAGGAATGTTTCGTAATAAAAAAAAACTGAAATGGAAGTGGTTGTTTCAAAATACATGGTGTAATATTGTGTATCTTAACATTGAGTCTACTGTTTTGGTCAATACAATTATGCAATTGAGTTACAATATGTGGTGCTCTTACGTGCTACTAATGATCCCCAGTAGTTCTCGTCTCCCGTTTATGGTATTACTCTTCTATTTACTTCTTTAAAATAACCTTCGAGCAATTTAATCTTATCTCGTTAACCATCTATCAATAAATCGTCCATGGCGAGATTAAATTTTGAATATTTGCCATAACATTAACTTTTTTATTCCTTATAGATACTATTTATTGCTAGTGAGAAAAAGTAAAATAAAGCAGTTGTGTGTACATAGTAGGCAGGATACAAAACTGATACTATTAAGACAGCAAATTAATTCTTCTATCTTCGTTTATTCAGAACCAGCTTCTTTTTATAACAATTATGTAGTAATAATAGTAAGATAGCTTACTAGCAATGACTTGCTATCCTTGCTTGAAAAACTAGCCCCGTCTAACCAATAATATTGGGTAGAATCTGTAAGTAGAACGGGGAAACGCATTCATCTTACACCTTTCTCGTTTTATTGATGAAAGTCTTGGTATTTATTTGATGCATTATAATATTGTTATGCAAGCAGACGGATCTAAACTTAGAGAACGCCTTAAGACAGTTAAGTGTTTCAAAACTTAATAAAGCATCAATATTAACTATCTAATAGAAGTGGTAGAGTGATTATAATTTAAGTTTTCCATGATCTCTTCACACCGTATCCCTTACGGGGTAGGCAGAGGGGATCAATGAGGCATGGGACGGCCTTTATAAATCTTTCGCATCCTCCACTTTCATCGCTCCATAGAGAGATCATAATATATCTTTACATAAATGTAATAAGTAAAACTTTCTAATAAAATAAATGATCGCCATATCAACCCTGTTTGAAAACGTGACGAGTTATCCATACTTGATAATAATACGCACATAAATCTGTGCGTCCATCAGTAATATTACATTTTTCTAAGGGAACACACTCTGTAATTCCGCGTGAACGAGGTGCGGTTAAAAGCGGCATGTATATTATAAAAGCATTCAAATTTGATTCTGCGGTTTAAATGGTTTAACATTAATATCGATACCTATCATGGAGTAGATATCTATACAGGAAAAGATTATAGTCACTATTTGCGTTCCTAACGGTGGATCATATTCATGTTTTTTACTACCTTTGCCTATCTAATATTATAACTATATATAAAATTCAAAAATGTATATAAACACGTTGCTCCCTATGGTGACTGTATTTTAAAACGACCGATTTTTTAATTGTAAATACATACAAGAAGTTAGTGTTTACCTTAATAGCTTGTTACATTTAATTAGGAATTTTAGATGTAAGGAAAATATTGTATAATTGTATACAAACACTATTAAACTTAATAAATAAAGACAGCTACGATTTCACTTTAAAAAAAAAACAAGATCATATTAATAATTAAAAAATAAGTTATCAATTTCAATATTTAAATGTGAAGTTTGAGCCCCAAAGCCTGTATAAATTTATTCTAATGACGACACTAACGAATAAGCAAAAAATTTCCTACGTACTTATAAAAAAAAATCCTGTATGTGACAAAAAACATATGACAATAACATAAACTATCTTACTTGGAAATCTAGCTGCAAGTAAACATATTTAGCAACTGAAAGTTCAACGCCGAAAACTATACTTTAGAGTTGAAATTTTAATCAGATGAAATTCAACATCAAATCGAATTAACCAACAGTAATTGGAATTGTTAAACATCCGTTTCGTCAATCAGCCGTTACGTGACAACACAGTCCATACGAGTGAGTCTGGATTTAATCGATTTCACTTCCATGTACCTGTATCCGCAAGATTTCACGATTACATCGTCACCATCATTGGGTAACCTCTAGGGTCGATAACTTCAACCATTTATTCACAAGCCGATTACCATCTTAAATGCAAAGTGTGTATAGAGATACCGATCTATGTTAAAGTAGTGTATGAATTTTTAGATGAGACATGCAATTGTAATTCAATCGATGGTCTATGAAACGAAGTTCCTCTTCTTTTTTGAACGTATGGCCGATTTGCGTTTACACAATCTCGCCAATGTCACGTGTGTGACCTTTTCACATAAAGAGACAATATGTAGATCTTTTTTGACGCTGGTAAATGGATTATGCATACCCGCAGCCGTTATATGAGGGACTCTCTCCTGCGGACCCACCTCAGAATGGGGCTAGTGGAATAACAGGGGCATACTTAAAACCCAGCGATGTCCCTCTCTATGG